GTAAACAGTTCTTTTTTATCGACTAGATGTTTTAGAAACAGCATGAATGGATGGATATAAAATCCTTGGCTTGCATCTTTGTTCCTTAAGTTTCTAGAAAATGCTGAAAATGCTGTATCACTACTGCCTTGCTTTGTATATTGCTCTTGAGAAAGCTGATGCCAACTATTTTGGCTACCAGACTCCATAATAAACCACCTACCCTAAAAAGCATGGCTTAAAGTAAGAACCATTTTAATTATAATTTCACAGTCTTTGGAGTTAGGAATTTGGGTAGGGCTTGGCTGGATGATTCTTCTGTTCCCTGTGGCTTCAGCTGAGGTCACTCAGTGGTATTCTGCTGATGTAGGGCTTTCATGACAATTTCACTCATACCAGCAAGAATCAGCTAGGTCCTCTCCTTCTCCATGTAGGACCTTTCTGGGGAGTTACATGTTTTACATAGCAGCTCAGGGCTTTAAGAATAAGTGTTCCTGGCTGGGCGCGGTGGCTCTCGCCTGTAATCCCAGCACTTTGGGAGGCTGAGGCAGGTAGATCACAAGGTCAGGAGTTCGAGACCAGCCTGGCCAACATGGTGAAACCCCGTCTCTACTAAAAATACAAAAATTAGCGAGGCATGGTGGTGGGTACCTGTAGTCCCAGCTACTCGGGAGGCTGAGGCAGGAGAATCGCTTGAAACCGGAAGGCAGAGTTTGCAGTGAGCAGAGATCGTGCCACTGCACTCCAGCCTGGGTGACAAGAGTGAAACTCCATCTCAAAAAAAAAAAAAAAAAAAAGTGTTCCCAAAGACCAAACACCCAAACCCAAGTGGACACCACTTCAAGACTTCTTGTGACCTGGGGTTGGAAATCCCAGAATATTGCATGTTCTATTTGCCAAACAATTCAGTAAGGCCAGCGTGGATGGAGAGGAATGATACAAAAAATTGGCAGCCACCTTTAAAGTACTGCAGCCCAATTTTCTTTTCTTCCTTTCTTTTTTTTTTTTTTTTTGGAGGCGGATTTTCGCTCGTTTCCCAGGCTGGAGCGCAATGGCGCAATCTTGACTCACTGCAATCTCTGCCTCCCGGGTTCAAGCGATTCTCCTGCCTCAGCCTCCCAAGTAGCTGGGATTACAGGCGTGCACCAGCATGTCTGGCTAATTTTTTGCATGTTTAGGAGAAACAGGGTTTCACCACATTAACCAGGCTGGTCTCGAACTCCTGACCTCAGGTGATCTGCCCACCTCAGCCTTCCAAAGTGCTGGGATTATAAGTGTGAGCCACCATGCCTGGCCTGCAGTCCAATTTTTTTACCCTTTTAAACAATTTGAACTTTGTACCTGCAAACCTCGAAGATCATTATTATTATCAGTTTAATAGTGTAAATAGCATAGCTATCAGAGGTCAGCCTCTGGCAGTTTTCCCAGGTAAATGTAGCCCTTATAGGTTCATATCTTATTTTCAGAAAGATTTTTAGATTATAGCTTCAACATATGTAGAACTCCAGTGACACATGTTAGATATTCTTTGCTTGTATTCAAATGACATTCCAAAAAGAGACAGAAACAAGCACAAAGGTGTGGAGCCAAGGGGAAGTGGAAACATTTCAGGAGTTTGTATGGTGTGTGTGGAGGAAGCAACAGAAGATGGACTAGAGAGAATGGGCAAGGTCTAGATTAAGGGAAGTGCTAGACAGTGACACCAGGGGTGGTAAATTTTTGAAAGTTTTCTCTAACCTGCAGAATGGAAGATGGATTGGAAGCAGCAAGACTGGCAGGGAGACCACATAAAAAGCTGCTGCATGGCCAGGTGCAGTGGCTCACGCCTGTAATCCCAGCACTTTGGGAGGCCCAGGCAGGTGGGTCACTTGAGGTCAGGAGTTCGAGACCAGGCTGGTCAACATGGTGAAACCCTGTCTCTAACTAAAAGTATAAAAATTAGCCAGGTGTGGTGACGGTCATCTGTAATCCCAGCTACTCAGGAGGCTGAGGCAGGAGAATCGGGTGAACCTGGGAGGCGGAGGTTGCAGTGAGCCAAGATCGTGCCACTGCACTCCAGCTTGTGTGATAGAGTGAGACTTCGTCTCAAAACAAACAAACAAAGCTGCTGCATTAGTTTAGGTGAGAGGGCCTAAGAGGGATACATTCTAGTTATTTATTTATGAGGAAGCATCAATGGGACTTAGTGGTTGTTGGGAATGGCATCAGGGCAGAGGGGTGGCAGGAGAAGAAGGAATCAAGAATGGCCCCCAGTTTCTGAATTGGGCAACTGGGTGGACAGTAGTTTAGATATGTAGAGTGTGGGGTATCTCTAGGACACCCAGTAGAGAAGTCTGGCGGGCTTTTGTGAATATGGAACCAAGATGAGTGGCCTGAGCTAGAGATAGTGCACTTGGGAGTTGCTGATATGCGGCAGATGAAGACACAGAGTGGATGGAATGGTCCAGGGAGAATGTGTGGAGTGAGACCAGCTGAAGAGAGAATCTGTGAAACTGAGAAGTGGTCACAGGGGTTAAGAAAGGAGTCATGCCAAGGCCGGGTGTGGTGGCTCAAGCCTGTAATCCCAGCACTTTGGGAGGCCGAGGCGGGCGGATCACAAGGTCAGGAGATCGAGACCACAGTGAAACCCCGTCTCTACTAAAAATACAAAAAATTAGCCGGGCGCGGTGGCGGGCGCCTGTAGTCCCAGCTACTCAGGAGGCTGAGGCAGGAGAATGGCGTGAACCGAGGAGGCGGAGCTTGCAGTGAGCCGAGATCGCGCCACTGCACTCCAGCCTGGGCACCAGCGTGAGACTCCGTCTCAAAAAAAAAAAAAAAAAAACAACAACAAAGAAAGGAGTCATGCCATGACACCAAGGGAGTTTCAGAAAGAGTGGGGTACTCTGTCAAATGTCACTGAGAGTTCTAATAATATGAGGACTCAAAGATGGCTTGTGGTATTTAGGATCAAACAAGCCATTCATGACTGAGAGCAATGCAGTGATGCGGTGTGGACAGAAACTACATAGGTTTGAGGAGCTGAGGAGCTGCTAAGGAGGTAGAGATGAGGGTAGATGACTTTCAAGACATTTGTGAAGGAAAACTCAGAGAGGGACTAGTAACTGAAGCAGAATCTAGAGGGACAGAGAAAGGGTTTCTTCCTTTTTCTTGAGGACAGGAAAAGCTTAAACATGTATAGATGATTAAGGAAAGAGACAAAGAGAAGCTGGTAATTTTGGAGTGAGAGGGGGAGAATGATTGAAAGGTGTTTGAGAAGTTTTCTGAGGATGTGGGAAGTGAAGAAACAGAGAACAGAGATGGAGATGCCAATACAGTGTCCTTGAAATATTTAATTCCCTTATGGTTTATGGTTGTCTAGCCCACATATTGAAATTACCTTGGTTTCAATCAATAAAACAAACATATCAAGCAATATTTACACATTTATTTTATATTATTTACACATCTTTTCTCCGAATAACAGAATCAATGTTTAACACCTCTCAATGCCTTCCACATAGTGGGTGCTCAAAAAGGGCAAATGAAGAGGCTAGATGTCTCTTACCTGATTCTGAGTATCTTCATATGTACAAAACATAGCCAAGACCGTGCCTACAAGAGATAAGTCTCCTCAAGCATGAAAATATTCACACTTCATATATGAAAGGTAAGATGTCCATCTTTTTTTTTTTCTTTTGAGACAGAGTCTCACTCTCTTGCCCAGGCTTGGAGTACAGTGGCGCGATCTCGGCTCACTGAAACCTCTGCCTCCTAAGTTCAAGCGATTCTCCTGCCTCAGCCTCCCAAGTAGCTGGGATTACAGGTGTACACCACCACGCCCGGCTAATTTTTGTATTTTTAGTAGAGACAGAGTTCTGCCATGTTGGCCAGGCTGGTCTCGAACCCCTGACCTCAAGTGATCTGCCCGCCTCAGCCTCCCAAAATGTTAGGATTACGGGCGTGAGCCTCGACGCTCGGCCAAAAATGCTCATCTTTTGAGGAACCTATTTGTTCCCATTTAACAAAGTTGGTTATCAGCATTTCCTTCACCATAGGAGTTTAAAAATAAAAAGAGGAGAGGAGGAGGAAGAGGGTGTTCTAAAGGCAGGCAGGCAGGCAGCAGCAGGAGGTGGCACGATCTGCCTTACCATAAGGTGCCAAAAAACAGTGAAAACCATACTCCCAGCATGCAAGCCTGGGGTCGCTTAGCTCTGGAGCTTACAGCCTTCATCATTGACCAATAGCCCCTAAAGGACGTTGCTGTTTTGAGTCTTAAGTAACGTTGAGAAAAATGACCATTTGAACCATTTACAAAGTCCTTGCTACATCCTAATTTGGCACCATCTCCTGTATTTCACACAGTTTGGAAAGAATTCTATAAAAGATGGGTAACAGTAAAACACAAAAAAGCTGGTGCTTTGATGGTAAATCTGACTGCCCCTGGCTCCTTTGCTCAATCTGTTTTCCCAGCCCTAATGTCCTCCCTTTTTCCTCTTAGGACTTCTTTTTCTTCCTTCGAGGCTGACCATAAATGCCGCCTCTTCCAGGAAGCCCTCTGCGGCGTCCAAGCGGAAGTCATCTCTAGCTTCTGTGCCTTCCCACAGCATCGCACTGTGCCTTGGCTCTGCACAGGTCACCGGACTTGGTTGTGTACACGGCTGTTTTCCCCGCTAAGTTTGGGGAGCCTCGAGCCCAGGCGCTGTGACCGTGATCGTGCGCCCACAGGTACCTGGTGCGGCGCGGGGTGAACGCCGCGGCTGAGCGAGCTTGCGGAGTTCATGCGGGTCACTCGGGCAGAGGCTTGTGCCCTAGGCGCAGAGAATGATTCACGGGGTGGCTCTTTGCATTCTTTGCCCGGTAGTCACGTCGGGCCGGGCACCCTGCCGGCGGATACCAGCGGATGGAAAGGCACCGGGCCCGGCGCCAGAGAGCGGGAGAAGCCTGGATGGAGCCAGCTTCCCGCCTGCCCGGAACCGCGGGGGCGGGGTGAAGGGGTGCTCGGCCGCTCCCGCCCCCTCCTCGCGCGCGGAAGCCACGCCCCCGGTCGCGCGCTCGCGCTGGGCGCGCGCCCGCCCCTCCACCCTCCGCCCTCCGCCCTCGCGCCCTCGCGCCGGGGGCGGGCGCTGCGCGTGCCGGGCGGGGAAGCGGTGCGAGCCAGGCGCTGCGAACGTTCGCCGCGGGGGCGGCTCCGGGGCCTGAGTGGGCGCCGCCGCTGCCTCAGCCGAGGGGGCCGGGCCGGAGCGTGAGGAGGAGTGAGGCCGCAGGAGACCTTCCCGACGCCCCCTGCTCCTGCAGGGAAGTGAGCAAGGTGGGGGTCTGCGGCCGCCGCCGGGGCTGCGGGGAGCAGAGTCGGGCTGGAGCCTCGCGCCCGCGAGGTGCGGGACGGGAGCCCGCGCTGCGCCGGGACTGGGGACCCGGGAGTCTGCGGGTGCGGCGCCGCGGGAGGCGGGGAGGGCGCGGGGAGCCGGGGCCACTGCACCGCGCGGGGCTGCGAGGTGGGACAGCGCAGTCGGCCGCGGAGGGACAGGCAGAGGGGATGCTGCGGAGCCCGGGCCGGGAGGGGTCTCGGGGTCCGGAACGCGCCGGGGCACGGGCGCGAGCTGGGGCGCGGCGCCGGGCTGATGCTGCCCGAGCCCGGCTCGCCTGGAGGCGGCTCTGCATTAGGTGCTGAAGGGGCGAGTGAGGCAGGTCCTGGCAGAGGGCAGGTGAGGCGGGCAGGCCCTGGCAGAGGGAAGGATATTTATTTCAGATCACCCCAAATCACTTTTTCCCGAGGCGCCAAATAGCGAACCTGTCCGGGAGGTCACCCTGGTCAGGAAAGTGTCCCGAGAGGAGGATGCCGGTAAATTAAGGATTGCCCTTAAATTCCCGTGCCAGGCCTTGGGATTAGAAAGACCTTCCAGCTACTGTGGGTAGAGACCCGTAGTCAGCACTGGGGCCACGAAATAGTATGAAACACCCTCATGTTATTGAGGTGCTGGCAGTGTGACTGTGAAGATATGCACATAAAATACAAAAGAGCGTCCAATTTTATGTTTTATGCCGTATTCACTTTAGGTCTCTTTTGTCTTTTCCCAGTATTGGGAAATTGAAGCCATAATTTGCGTGGTTTGGAGAAAAAGCGGAAAGGTCAAATAAGCCTATGGGAGAAATTTGGGAGAGTTTCGAAGGCTCCTACGAAGGCTCCTACGGGTACCATTTAAAGGGGGCTCTCAGAGGGGAAAAAAGACGTTTGGAAAGAAAGGAAGTTTCCTTCCTTCCCAACCAGAAATAAGCTCCATGACAATTCACTGCAAAGTCTTCAGAATGTTGCCTGTCTCACAGCGGTCGAGCCATAAATGTCTATTGCATGAATGAATGGACAAGCAAGATTTGGCCACATTTGCCATGGAGCAGTGTCAGTCACTCTAGTGTTAGGGAACGTTGCTAGATTTCCCCTGTTCCACAAGTTCTCTCTCTCTGCCTTTTTTTTTTTTTTTTTTTTGCCATGCCAGGCAACCCAGTTTCTAAGGTCTGGGCACGTGAAAGCAATGGCTAAGGCGGCGAGGTCTTGGTTTCTGTGGCCATACTACCACTTTCCCATGTGTCTTACATGTTGACCGTCAAGAGCTTGCTCCTTGGGCTGTTGCTTGAGATCATCCCATTTTGTTCCTTCTCCCATTGGCTTTTCCTGTCACTTGAGAAGGAAGAGGGTAGTGTTGTCTAGAAAACACTTTTTCATTTTCATCCTAGTTCTTGGATCTTAGACCTGTAGTGCGAGGCTATCGGTGCCTCTGCTTTTCTGTAAGGGCTAGAATCCTACCTGTCCTCTGCCTTGGTTGAATCTCTGAACTCTGGAGCTCCAGGCTGCTGTTTCAGTAACCTGGGTTGCAGTGCCTGTTGGGTTACTTTGTCTGCCAAATTAAAACTTGACCTTTTATGAGTTCTCTGAGGATTTTTATCATAATGCATAAGTGGAATTGCCTTTCAAAGGGGTTGTGCAGTCAAGGTAGTGCTGGCAGTTTTTGGATGTCCACTATGCCCGGGAGACAAATTTCTACCTATGGTTAGAAAATTAGACTCAGAACCAAGAGAATTTCAACTTATTGTTTTATTTTTTGTCTTTATATTACCCCAGGGCCTTAGTTTCTTCGTGTGAAAAATAAGAGTAATAATCAAAATCTGGCATTGTATAGGAAGTCTTGAATAAGTAAATTTATTTCTCCTGTTTGAATTATATGAGCATCAGAGCTGTGGCGTCTAGTTGTGTAGATTGTATACTGCCCAGCTTTAGGGAGCACCATTCACATTGGAGTCCCCGTGCCCGGCAGCTCCTGGAGTTGTGTAGTGCATACTCTGTGTGACTGTGTACAGCCAGCAGGTCTCTTGTTGAGAGGTGCATAGGTTCTACAATATTGGGTGCCTTATTCCAGGCGCGCTCGATGATATTTTGTTTATATATTTATTTTAAAACCAACCTATTGATGTATAGTGGACACAATAAAATGTACAGATTTCCCATGTGTGGTTGGATGAGTTTTGGAAAAATGTGTACAGTGGTCCCCCCATTAGCCTCAGGGATATGTTCCAAGAGCACCAGTGGATGCCTGAAGCCACAGCTGATTCCAAACCCTATATAGACTGTTTTTTTCCCCTATACTTAAGCACCTATGATACAGTTTTAACTTATAAATTAGGTACCATGAGAGATTAATGATTTCTGTTAGGCATATGTTTGGCTTCTCTGTGGCATATCCCAATTGCCAGCATCACTACTCTTGCACTTCGGGTTTATTATTAAGTAAAACAGTGGTTACTTGAACACAAGCACTGTGATACCATGACAGTCAATCTGATCATTGAGACAGCTACCAAGTGAGTAACCAGAGGGTGGCTTATGCAGTGTGGATATGCTGGACAAAGGAATGGTTCACATCCCAGGTGGGACAGAGTGGGATGGCACAAAATTTCATCAGGCTGCTCAGAATGGTACACAACTTAAAACTTACAAATTGTTTATTTCTGAGTGGGGGACTGCTGTATACTTTGTAACCAGCATTCCAATCAAGAAATTTCCATCGCCCCAGAATGTTCCCTTATGCTGGTTTGCAGTCCATTCTCTATCCTCCCCACTCCCTTTTATTGATTTCGAATTACATAAGCATCAGAGCTGTGGCGTCTAGTTGTGTAGATTGTATACTGCCCAGCTTTAGGGAGCATCATTCACATTGGAGTCCCCATGCCTGGCAGCTTCTGGAGTTGTGTAGTGCGTACTCTGTGTGACTGTGTGCTGCAACTCTGCAGGTCACTCAGAACACACACTCACTTGTCAGATACCCAAACAGTACAGACAGAATAAAGGCCCCCTTGACCTACTCACGGAAACAAGTTATCAGTTTTTGTGGTCTTTCCAGACTATTCTCTATGTATTTTCTTGTATATATAAGGAACACACACACTTGTCAGATACTCAGACAGTACAGACAGAATAAAGGCCCCCTTGACCTACTCACGGAAACAGAAGTTATCAGTTTTTGTGGTCTTTCCAGACTATTCTCTGTGTATTTCCATGTATACATAGGTAACGCAGAATAAAAAAAGAGCAGTTTTTTCTCCTCTGCATTAATGACATCATACCGTACACAGTGTTCTGCAGTTTTTTCCCCTAACAGAATGATTTTGAGATCTTTTCATGTTGGAACACAGGAATCAACCTGAGTCGTTTTAACTACTACACAATCTCTTGTGTAGTATGTATTGTAGTTTATTTCGTATTCTTATTAAGGACTGTTGCTGCAGTGAATGAAAAAATACAATTGCTGGGTCAGAGGTACGCATGTTACTTCATAATTAATGGGGCTATAACCATGTTGCTACTTGTGGATTTAATCCATTTATTTTTAACTGCTTAGTGTATTCAGTTGTAGGCTTTTTTTTTTTTTTTGAGATGGGGTCTTGCTCTGTTGCCCAGGCTGGAGAGCAGTGGCACTCCAGGGCTCAAGTGATTCCCCCAAGTAGCTGGGACTACACTTGCGTGCCACTATGCCTGGCTAATTTTAAAATTTTTTGTGGAGATGCAGTCTCGCCATGTTGCTCAGGCTGGCAAGAGATCCTCCCAAAGTGTTGGGATTACAGGCATGAGCCCCTACACCTGGCCCGGTTGTCGACTTACATCACAGTGTATGTATCCTTTTACTCACTGAGGAACAGTTGGGTTCCTTTAGATGCTGATTCTTCAATGGGTCTGTGTGTTGCAAATGCATCCTGCCAGCCCTAGGCTTTTCTTTCCCTTTGTTAACAATGTGTTTGGTTGTATATACCATTTAAGTTTAATGTCATATTTATGAAAAATTTCCCTTAAATGGCTTGTCTTTTTTCGGGTGTGTATCTGGTTTAAGAAAATTTTCTCTCTCTCATGGTGTTAATGATATATTCTTGTATTTTCTTCCAAAAGTTTAAAAAAGGTTTGCTTTCCATATGGAATTTATTTCTATGTATGGTATAATGAAGAGATGCAATTTTTGTTTTTTCAATTTGGATGACTCGTTTTTCAGCACTCTTTTTTTTATTATAGTAAAATACACATAACATAAAAATTACAATTTTAACCATTTTTAAGTGTACAGTTCTGTAGCATGAAATACATTCACGTTGTTGCACAGCCATCACCACTGTCTTCAGAGCTTTTTCATTGTCCCCAACCGAAACTCTGTACGCCTTAAACACCAGCTCCCCATTCTTCCCTCAGCCCCTGGCAACCACCATTCTACTTACTGTCTATGAATTCGACTACTCTAGGTACCTCATATGAATGGAGTCATTACAAGATTTGCCCTTTTGTATCTGGCTGATTTCACTTAGTATAATGTGCTTAAAGTTCATTCATATTGTAGCATGTGTCAACATTTCCTTTTTAAGGCTGAATAATATTTCATGGTATGCATCTACCACATTTTGTTTATTCATTCATTGATGGACATTTGGGTTCTTTCCCTGTTTTGGCCATTACAAGGAGTGCTGCTATGAACATTGGTATCCATATGTCTGTTTAAGTCTCTGTTTCCATTTCTTTTGTGTATGTGCTCAAGTGCAATTATCAGTAATACAGTTTTTAAAACAATATACATAATGGAATAAAAATAGATTAACACAACTGTGGCCAATATAGCTGAATAGAACAGAGTTTCCATGTACCCACTCTTTGCCATGTGGTTTCTCCTATTAACATCTTGCATTAGTATGCTACATTTATTGTAATTGATAAACCAATATTGATACATTGTTGTTAAAGTTCATGATTTAGAGTTCACTCTTTGTATTGTATATTCTATGGATTTGACAAATGCATAATGTAATGTATCATTAACATGGCATTACATGTAATGTCATTACATGGCATGACTGCATGCTACAACTCTGCAAGTGGCTCACTTGTAAAATACTTAGCAGTACAGACAGAATAAATGTCATTACATGGCTATAGTTTTACCTTTTCCAGAGTTGGAAATGTCATAGATTTGGAATCGTATAGTATGGAGCCAACTCAGATTGGATTCTTTCACTTAGCAATATGCATTTAAGTTTCCTCTAAGTTTTTTTGGTGACTTGATAGCTCATTTCTTTTTCTTTTTCTTTTTTTTTTGAAATGGAGTCTCGCTCTGTCGCCCAGGCTGGAGTGCAGTGGTACAATCTCAGCTCATTCCAAGCTCCGCCTCCCGGATTCATGCCATTCTCCTGCTTCAGCCTCCTGAGTAGCTGGGACTACAGGCACCCACCACCACGCCCGGCTAATTTTTTGTATTTTTAGTAGAGATGGGGTTTCACCATGTTAACCAGGATGGTCTCAATCTCTTGACCTCGTGATCTGCCTGCCTTGGCCTCCCAAAGTGCTGGGATTACAGACATGAGCCACCGTGCCCGGCCAGCTCGTTTCTTTTTAGCGCTGAATAATAATATTCCATTTCATGGAAACACCACAGTTTGTTTATTCGTTCACCTACTGAAGGACATCTTGGTTGCTTCTAGTTTTTGGCAGTTTTTGAATAAAACTGCTATAAACATCTGTGTGCAGGTTTTTGTGTAGATATTAAGTTTGTAACTCACTTGGGAAAATACCTAGGAGAGTGATTTCTGGGTCAAACAGTAAGAATATATTAAGCTTTGTAGGAAACTATTAAATTATCTTTCAAAGTGACTGTACTATTTGCATTCCCAATAATTTTTACAATTTTTGTCTAAGTACCCTAAATGTACTTATATAATAGGTCTGTCAGACTGTTTTGTAAAATTAAACTTCACCTGGAATAATACTCAGTTATTGGTTTTGTTGGCTGTCTTTCAGTGTATCTCTTCATGTGTTTTGAAGTTTTGAATTACAGACTCTTTTTTTTTGTTGTTGTTGTTTTTGAGATGGAGTCTGGCTCTGTTACCCAGGATGGAGTACAGTGGCACGATGTTGGCTCACTGCAACCTCTGCCTCTGCCTCCCAGGTTCAAGTGATTCTCCTGCCTCAGCCTCCCAAGTAGCTGGGATTGTAGGCGCCCGCCACCATGCCTGGCTAATTTTTGTATTTTTAGTGGAGACAGGGTTTCACCATGTTGGCCAGGCTGGTCTCGAACTCCTGACCTCAAGCGATTCGCCTACCACAGCCTACTAAAGTGCTGGGATTAGAGGCGTGACCCACCACACCCAGCCAAATGACAGACCCATTTTCAGGGTGAGTGCTTTAGATTTTGTTTTCTTATCTTCTGTGCCCACTCTCCTCTGTGTGGTGATATTTCAGGTGCTTCAGTTGACCTACTGGACCTCAGTCTAGAATCAGATACGATAATTGTGGGCTAAGGGTCCTGCCCTTTGAGTTAATTGGGCTATTTTTGATCTTCTCATACAGTATGAGTCTTGACTGAGTTCCTGGTCCTGAGGCTGTTTATATCTTCCCACTTATCTAAGCCTAGAGTATTAGATAAACTGTAGTTCTAGGCAGAGCTTGGCAGCAGTATTTTTTAGTTTCCTTTCAGCTCCAGCATCATTGCTGGCCTTAAGCAGTGGGTCTGGCCCAGATGTCTCCATTTCTTCATCCTCCTTTGCTTTCTGTTTTTACTACCCCACAGGAAGTGCACACCTGGTTCTAGACTCAGGATCCAGCAAGCCTAGAGCTTCAGTCCTGCTTGCAACTTTGTGTATCTATTCTGTTTCTCCAAATAGAGGTTTGTCTTGGTTTTGAACTTAATTTTTAAAAAATATTGTTAAAAAATATTTTATCCATTATTGTGTATTTAGAGCAGAGAGGATGCATCAAAGAATGTACTTACTGGGCCACTTTCTAGAAGATTTAATTAACCAAGCTCCTTTCTCAACTTTATACGAAGAATTTTTTCTTTGTTATGGCATTGCCTAGGCCCTCCGGTACAAGAATAAGTATGATAATGGGCATTTTAATCTTTTTGCTGAGTGGTAACGTTTCCAGTGTTTCACTGTTAGATATGATGTTTACTGATGGTTTTTGGAAGATGTCTTTTGTCAATTTAAGAAAGTTTTCTTCTGTTCTTGGTAAGTATTTTTAATTGGGTGTTGAATTTTATGGAGGCCTTTTTTGGGGGCATTTCTTGAAATTATTTTTCCTCCTCTTTAACATGTCAAGAGTAGGACAGACCTCTCTGAGTTGTAGGTAACTGAGAGAAACAGATGTATATGATTTACTTGTTAATTCATTTTTAACATGAAAACCTCACAACCTTTAAATAAAACATATTTTAAACTTGAATTTTTGTATATTAACATTATATATAAGTTAAAATAGGACTGAAATGCTGTAGTAATCAGGGTTGGACTAAATATCATTGTAACTTTACTATATTTGAATAGTACTAATAATATCAATAATAATAGCTAACATTTATTGGGCTCTTACCTGATGCCAGTTATCGTGCTAAATGCTTTACATGCTATTTATTTAAGAATTACCACAGCCCTATGAGGTTATATTTAGCTACTCAGAACTCTCTGTTGTAGTGGAGTGCAGTTAGTGAATTTTTTTATTGGAACCTAGAGAACCCTCTCAGATTTGTAAAAAGCAAATCTTTAAGGTTTTATGAACATTTATTATCCCTGGCCTTTTTTTTTTTTTTTTTTTTTTTAATCTGAAGGAGGAGAGAAAAGTTACAGAGGAAGGATATTTGAGAATTTTTCTGAAATAAGCAAGGAAGTTCTCTTTCAATAAAGTTTGGCTTGTTATAACTAAGTGTTAATGAGAGTCTTAGTCATCACTAACTACTTCTTTTTTTTTTTTTTGAGTTGGAGTCTCTCTCTGTCACCCAGGCTGGAGTGCAGTGGCGCAATCTCCAGTCACTGTAACCGCCACCTCCCGGGTTCCGGGGATTCTCCTGCCTCAGCCTCCCGAGTAGCTGGGACTGTAGGCACGTGCCACCATACCTGGCTAATTTTTTGTATTTTTATTAGAGACCGGGTTTCATTGTGTCGGCCAGGATGGTCTCCATCTCCTGACCTCGTGATCTGCCCGCCTCAGCCTCCCAAAGTGCTGGGATTACAGGCATGAGCCACCGCGCCTGGCCCCTCACTGACTTCTTAATTAAATGGACATCCAAAGAAAAACTGATAGGGAGATGGTGGGAAGTGGTGAACTTACATAAGAAATTTCAATACTCGGATGCTTTGACGTAGCTGAGAACTGGCAGGGTTAAGAAATTAACAAAAATATTCAAAGGAAATAAAGGCTGTCTAACGCCAAGGCATGTACAGACGTTCTGGCGACACTTCCAAAGCCACCTCTCCTTTTCTTTTAGTCTTTACTGTGGGAGTTACGAAACTTCTACGTGTAGACGTAGTCCAGGTCTGAAACACTCTATCTTCTATGAATAGAACAGAGTGTAAGAACTAACAAGGATCCAAACTTTTTGCTGCACTCTCTTCCAGACCCTACTTAACTCCATGATTTAAGGTCTGATCCAGTACCACAGTTTTGGGACCTGTATTCTTTCCTTATTCCTTGAAGCTTCATGTTGCCCTGGAGGGGGCGATGTGACACAGTAGAAAGAAAATGGGCTTTAGCATCGTCATCGTCAAAACTCCAGATTCCTAGCTTTGCAACTTCAGGCCAAGTTACCTGACCACTTAGACTCTTAGTTTCCTCTCTACTTCTAACAGCCCTAATCCTGAAAATCTCCTCAAGCTCAGTGCAGTCTTGTCTTCTCACTACTTTTAAAAAGAGCAATAGTCTCCAAAGTGGGAGGTATGTAAAATGATCCTCTAGGCAGGGTATTACAAGAAAATACGAGCAATCAAGTTTTACCAGTATTTAACCCATAGGTTGACACTTTACTTCATCTGTGTCTGATGATGTCTGTCAGGTATGGTAAGCTAGGGAACCCCACCGCCTGGAGGGGCTGATAATGTGATCCTCCTTATTTACCTGCTTGTATTGTTTTAGCACATGGTTTAGTTCACCTCTGCTGGGTTTAGTGGTCTTCCAGATCATATTACCTGATTTGAATAAAATGAACCTTGCAAAATAGACAAATGGCTCACAAAGTTTCCTGCAAAGAAAATGCAGGTTGAAGTTTCAGAGTCAACTGAAGATGGAAGTAATAATGCAAACACATGTGAACAGCCAGAAAGAAACAGAGTGGATACTTCTATTTATATTATGAACTTGTCAGTCAAATGGAAAATATAAAAACAATGGTGATCTCATCAGATTGATGAAGAAGCATTAATAAAAAATACGTTAGAATTACTAAAAATACTATTTAAAATATGGATTTATATACACCGTTGAGTACATTGTGCCTGAAGGTATTGACTAATGATATTATGGGCTAATGTTATAAATTGAGATACTTAAAAACTAAGCATTCAGAATATAAAGACAGACTTACTGACATTTTTCAGTGATTGGTAGTCATGCTCTAGTTAATCCGGTACCTTAACATTTTATTAAGCTTAATAATACATTTTTAGAAGTTCTTTTTGAGGTTTAGGAATAAAAGGCAAAAAGCCATAAATTCTTGTTCTTCCTGTTTGGTAACAGTGGCTGAAATAATATATAGATAAGTAATTTGAGTTTAGTATAAAATTGAAATGTATCCTTTATTAGCAACTATTGTTGAGATACTGGTAGAACACGTTGCTAAAGATTTGAAATCATGGCTATTGTACCATATTATAGAGTTCATGTATATTTGGATAAAAGTACAGAGCTTATGGTATTTGGTATACTCTGTTTCAATAATAAAATATATGGAGAACTGCCTTTCCCCCCTGCTAAAACTCTCAGGATAAGACTTACCAGAGAATATACTGAAAGTAGATGATCTAAAATATTATAAAGAAACAGGACATATAAAGCATAAAGAATAATATATTGTTCAACCATTGTGGAAGACAGTGTGGGGATTACTTGAGGATCTAGAACCGGAAACACCATTTGACAGCAGTGGCATTACTGGGTATATACCCAAAGGATTATAAATCATTCTACTGTAAAGACACATGCACACGTATGTTTATTGCAGCACTATTTATAATAGCAAAGACTTGGAACCAACCCAAATACTCATTAATGATAGAATGGATAAAGAAAATGTGGCACATGCACACCATGGAATACTATGCAGCCATACAAAAGGATGAGTTCATGTCCTTTGCAGGGACATGGATGAAACTGGAAGCCATCATTCTCAGCAAACTAACACAGGAACAGAAAACCAAATACCACATTTTCTCACTCATAAGTGGGAGTTGAACACTGAGAACACATGGATGCAGGGAGAGGAACAACACACACAGGAGCCTGTTGGGGGGTCGGGTGCAAGGAGAGGGAGAGCATTAGGACAACTGCCTAATGCATGCAGGGCTTAAAACTTAGATGATGGGTCAATAGGTGCAGCAAACCACCGTGGCACATGTATACCCATGCAACAAACCTGCACGTTCTGCACATGTATCCCAGAACTTAAAGTAAAATTTAAAAAAATATGTATTTCCACTTAAATAAATGGAGCACACACACACAAAAAGAATATATTGTACCTAGAACCCAGCCTAAGAGAGAAAATGTAGCCAGTGGAGTTGGTATACCTCTGCGGTCACGATTCTGTTTCTATCCCCAGAGATACTCACTTTTCTGAATTTGATGATTACCATTTCCATATGCTTTTTTTTGAGACAGAGTCTCCGTCTGTCGCCCAGGCTGGAGTGCAGTGGTGTGATCTCGGCTCACTGCAAACTCCGCCCCCCAGGTTCATGCCATTCTCCTGCCTTAGCCTCCGGAGTAGCTGGGACTACAGGTGCCTGTCACCACGCCCTGCTAATTTTTTGTATTTTTTAGTAGAGACAGGGTTTCACTGTGTTAGCCAGGATGGTCTCCATCTGACCTCTTGATAGCCCGCCTAGGCCTCCCAAAGTGCTGGGATTACAGGCGTGAGCCACTGCGCCTGGCCTTCTGTATACTTCTTTGTACTTTTGCTGTGTGTGTGTGTGTGTGTGTGTGTGTGTGTATGTGTTTGCATCTATGTATGTTATGTTCAGGATCAGGGCCAGGGTGAGATGAGGAGGCACCTAGGTCCCCAATGTAAGGAGCCCCTCAGTCATGGGCTTGCATGACCCCCAGTATGATGCTTCCTTACATTTTGTGCCCTAGGTGCCTCATTCACCTCACCATAGTCCCAGTCCTGCTTCTGTTAATATGCATGTTTTTAAGCTTTATGGAAATATTATTTTTTATGTATTCTCTTGTAACTTTTTTCACTTAATATTTTGAAATGATCCATCTCGATAAATGTAGCTCTGCTTTATTCTATTCTGATTGACTATAGTATAATTTTATTTTCCCATGCTTCTGTTGATGTATATTTAGGGTGTTTCTGATTTTGGGTGTACAAATAGTGTCATCGTAAGCATTCTTGTATGTGTCTCCTTAGGATGTAGTTGTAAAAGGGGAATTTCTGGGTAATTAGATATATCCATTGTCTATTTTTTTTGAGATACAGTTTCTCTCTTGTCGCCTGGGCTGGAGTGCAGTGGCACAATCTCGGCTCACTGCAACCTCCACCTCCCAGGTTCAAGCAGTTCTCCTACCTTAGCCTCCTGAGTAGCTGGGACTACAGGCACGCGCCACCATGCCCGGCTAATTTTTTGTATTTTTAGTAGAGATGGGGTTTTGCCATGTAGGGCAGGCTGGTCTCGAAAT